AGCGGCCGCGCTCGGCGACGCGACTCGGCGCGGCGCGAATGACACTCAAACCGCACTTATTCCGCTCGCGGTGACGCCGGTTCCTCCGGATCGCCGCGGCAGAATCGAACGACCGCCCCGCCCCGCCCCGCCCCGTCGCGTCGCTGTTCGCCGGCAACGCGCGTCATTATATCGCCGGCATTTGCGTCAGCCGGCGGTAATTGGCAACTCGACGCGTGCTCGCTCGGAAGAATGACTCGCGCAATGTTCGGATTAAACAACTCCGGCGGAATCGCCGGAGCGAAAGGTTCTCTCCGCGCAGCATCGCCGCGTCGATCGAATAATTTTTAATTCGGACCTACGACGAGAGATGAAGGCGAGAGAGAAGAACGCTGCGAATTAGAGAAGAGAACTGCAACACTACGAGTAGAGACACACACACTCGTGTCTACCAACGGCGATTAAGCCCTTAAGCTGACCTCAAACCCCGGACGAGATCCAACTAAGATTAACGTTTCATCGACGTTGGCAGAAACGGGCGTCAGTCGCCGCCCCGCCGAGAGATCGAATCGAGCGTCATTTTAGACGCGAGAAGACATAAAAAGATCCCGCCGCCATTCCCTGCAACGAACGTCGCAGTAAGCAAGAACAAGCACAAGCGCGCACCTTGTAATTTCCTCGTTTCCCCTCCAAGCGAGCGACGAGTATCCTCGCTCCGAGTATCCTCCTTCTCTCTCTCTCTGTCTCTCTCTCTCTCTCTCTCTCGCGCGCACGACCTACAAATTGCAAGCGCACTTCCAAATCCGGCCGAGCAAGTTCGCGCGAGCTCGAGAGCCGCGCACGGCGGCCGTCATCTTCGTCCTTCCTCCGAGGCAGATTCTTATAATCCGCGAGGATTTCGCTGCCGCTCGGACGTTTTAAGAGTGGGGCCCGCACGCGCGCGCGTCACGTCAGCCGATGCCGAAGTTGGCGCGCGCGGCAAGGGCGCGAAGAAGGGCGGCCCGGCCGCTTGATACTCCGGGATACTACCGCGCGTTTATCTACGACGGGAGAGCTATAGAGTGCGGGGCGAATGGATGGGGCGGTGGGAGCGAGGTGGCTCTCGCCGAGGGATCGAAACTTATCTACTTGCTCAACTAGCTCCGCTACAGCACACCCACCCTTATCCAGTCGTAGAAACTTCGGCCGAAGGCCCCTGAGTCGGCGGGCCAACTTCCGCGCGAGAGATACGCATTTCTCAAATCTGTTCTCGTCGCTGTAAACTTAATTCCGGGCTGCTTCGATGCCACTATCGCGCGGCGGGCGGCGGCGGCGGCGGCGGCGGCGGCGCACCGGGCGCCAGGGGAGGTTGGGGGTGAGAGGTCGTGTCTTGGCATCGACGCGCGTGAAAAATGCGTTTCGGGAAGGGGGGCTCTCCCACCGGCGAGATCCTCCCGTACGACCGATTTCCGCCGAGTCTCTCACAAGGCCGGAGAGGGGGAGGGTAAGGAGGCGGACGCGAGCCCCGATGATGCACTACCGCCGATAAGGGCGCAAAGTGCGCGCGAGTTGCGATCGCGGAGTCGTTGTTTGCCGCGCGCGAGCGATTCCGCTGGAATTCGGCGAACGTCTCGGTTGCAAAATCGATTCCACGATAGAGTCAAACGCGACATGAAATATCCGTCGCGGCACGGATTTATCCGTGCGACGGGAAGCCGCGATACCGCGGAATAAGCTCGCCAGCAGATGGCCGCGTTCCGTTTCCGCACTTGCGAGCGTTTTAGCGCCGCGATGTCTTTACAATGCGAGCTTAATTTATCCTTTGTGCCGCTGATAGGGCGTTACTCCGCGAAGCCATCGCCGAAGAGTGCCGGCTGTCTTCTATGCCGGAGGGATCTATAAGATGATACGATTAAGCCGCACGTCGGGCGCGGCGAAGTGCGGGGCGGTCGTCAAGATGGAAAAAGCGAGCGCGAGTCCCTTGAAACAATGAGACCATTTCCGATGGCTGGAAGTGAACAGCGACTGTACCCTTACCCTCCGCGGCCGTCTCCACCTTCTCCGAGCGGAGACTCGTCTCGGAGGAGTCACCGTCGACTGAGAGGGGGGAGGGTGCGATGCTTCTCGCGCGATGATCGGCGGGGAGACAAACAAAAGACAAACAAGCCGGGCAATCGACAGCAACTCGACGCGATTGTCGAGTCGACTCGCGAGTCCGCATCAGGATGAAACCGCAACGCTTAGAAGCCGCTTTGCAGCCTCGACGAGAGCGAATTTGGAATACTGATTGGAGCAAACCGAATCACCGCCGCCGCGTATGCACGAGAAATCCGGGTCGAAATGCGTGTACATCGCTCGGCGCGGACGATAATCCTGTAATATCGTTAATTGGCAGACCGCGAGGCGTAGTCGCGGAAGGTTAGTAAAATCGTCGGAACGATTTACCCTCCTCCCGCCCCTCGGCCCCCCGACATAGTTTAATCCCGATCGGTGCTGATTCTGAGAGGCAGATTACGCGCAACATTCGGCTCCGCAATTACGCCGCCGCGGGTCTCCCGTCATCCGCAGCATTATCCCGACGGGTTGTACGGGGCGTCATTAACATCCATTTCGCGCCGAAGAACCCGATGAGGACCGTGTCAACGACTACGGAGGACCGTAAAGATCGACGTCGAGATAGTTGTTAAGGAACGGAAGGAGCTCGGATCAAGAGAGAAAGAGCGGGGAGGGCAGGAAGTGAGACGGAGAGATATAAATAGACAGAGAGAGAGAGAGAGAGAGAGAGACGCAAAGATGAAGTGGCGGGGACCATCTTGCACGAGCGTACGCGGCGCGTAGGACAGACACGGCGGTGTCGATGAGGGAGGAGGCGACTCGACGCTGTCGCCGAAGTTCAGTAACCCCCTGATTGAACTCTGCGACTACGTGGATACAGCATCTACATAGGTATATCGCGCCATGGAAGCAGCAGCAGCAGCACCAGCATGAGCACTACTAACAGCGGCGGCGGCGGCGGCGGCGGCGGCGGCGGCGGCGGCAGCGGCGACAGCGGCGGCAGCAGCAACAGCGGCAACAGCCATGGCACCGTGCTCAGGATCACTCCTGCATCCGCGTCAAGCCGAGGCTTTGTGGGGCCACACGGAGGCAGGCGACCGGAGATTACAATGGCATCTCCTCCAGATTAGCATATGAATTACGATCCCCCTCATCTGCTCCCCTTTGCCGCCCCCGTGCCGTACCTTCTTCCACGTATCCCGGTCTAACGCCGCCCCCTGCGCGTCTCCCCCGATCTCTTCCTGCCCGTTTCTCTCTCTCTCTCTCTCTCTCCCCCCTATCTCCCCCCTCTCTCTCTCTCTCTCTCTCTCTCTCTCTCTCTCTCTCTCTCTCCTTCGCTCAATCTTTGTCTGCCTGATTCGCTCTCGTGTACGTGTACACCACTGTCCTCCTTTATCTCGGTGTGTTCTCCTTGCGCAAGAGTCCTGCCCACCACCTTCGAAGGCACGAAGGACTATCCGAAGGACTTCGGAGTAGTTGCCGACTCGCCGGGAACGCTGTCCCCGGTGTGGCGCGGACTTTGCGAATGGTAACGAAGGGGGCCCCACCGGCTCTTAGCCTTCGGGAATTCCCGGACGAGCTTCCCCGCTATTTACATGCATCGGAAGCGACGCCGGGAGAGCATGGCGCGCGCTCGCCAAACGGATGGAACGGTATCGATCGGTCACTCTATACCCGCCTCCAAAGATAAATACCATATTTTTAATTAAATCGTGCCGCTCTCCCTCTCTGATGGCGCACAGTTCTGATATATGTATATATATATATATATATATATATATATTTGCCGAGGCGCTTTATAGAAATTAATGCGCGGGCTGGATCGAAAAGCGCACGCGCGCGAGCGCCGGCGGAAGATGGAAGAGCGTCAGATTTTTGCGCGAGATACGCTTTTATGAACGCTCGTGCACCGCACCCGCCGGAGAGGTCGTGTTTGCAAATAATAACCGGCGGAGTGGAATAGATCGAAAGAATTACAACTCTCACGCCACTGGAGGGAAACACGCGAGGCGCGCGAGGCAGAAGCTACGACTCGTTAAAAACGATAGTCGATCAACAATTTGTCTCTCGATTATCTGCGCCCTCGTCATACACACGTGGCTCCGTTATCCTACACCGTGACGCGAGACTTATGACCTTCGGCTAACGCGCGGCGATAAGCGAGCCGCGTCGTGACGACGCGACGTGACGGCGGTGGTAGAGCGGCGCCAGCTGTGAAATTCGCGTAATTAATAAAATTGGGCCCCAGGTAGACGTAGAGCGAGCGGCGCGAGATACGGCGGCCGCGAGCAGCCGCGCGCGACAGGTCGGCAGAAAACGAGGCTGATAAACATCAGCACGGCTCGCTGGCTCCGCGGTGTACACTTTTTATCGCGGGGCCTATCGCGCGTGCGCGCACGCGCGCGCGCGCGCGCGCAGCTGTGGCGCGTGTATGAATTTTACGCGGCGGGCGCGCGTTATCGCGCGGCTCGCGCGACGTGTTGCTGCGTGTTATCTACGTTTTATTACACAGCCGTCTTGTACGTAGGCGATTGACGCGGGATAGAACGCCGTCCAAGTCGCCGAGCGCTTGCGTCTCGCGCGTGCGAGTAAAATTGTCTCGCTGGCGCAATTCGCGCAATTCTCACAGCGACAGACGCGGCTGCGTTCAATCTTTCGTGGGGGGGAGCGAAAGCTCCGGCACTTTGCGCTCGGTCGGTATATCGGGTCTTTCGCTCGCAGCGGTGTGGAAGTACTGTGGACAGTAAGAAGTGAAAATGTTGGCACCGGTGAAGGTTACAATCCTTCCCCGGTGTCGTGACACTTTGAGGACTTGCGCGGTTATATACTATTTTCTTTTCCCACGCATGTATTATATGTATGATATGTAGAATTTTCTCTCTATGTATTACAGAGTTGCAAGAGTCATTGTCATATGTAATGAGGGTAGCGATACATTCCTCTCGACGCCGAGAGGAATGGGTATTGGATCGATTGTTTGTTCTCACCTCCGCGGTTTTCACTGTCCGCCGGCTTCACTTGAATAGGACGGTTCATCTGCAACAGAGAAACAAGAGCGGCGCATTAGTCGTCTGGCGATGCACAACAGCGCGTACTACCGTACGCGTAACATCTACGAACAATCGCGCACTCGGGCGTCTTTTATTCTCGCCCAGAAGCAGACAGAGAGAGAGAGAGAGAGAGAGAGAGAGATGGCGAGAATCGCGCGAACAGGTCGGAGGAGAGAGTCTTTCGCACTATCGCCCACGAAGGGCGAGGACGAAAATATCCAGTTTGCCGAGAAAGCGGAAGTATCGTTATTTGTCCGGCATGTGTGCGCACGTCCTTCGCGTCACTTCGGCCCCGCTCAAACACCATCAGCGGTTGCGAGAACTTCCTCCTCTGCCGTTGACAGTTCGGACTGTCGGAGTGTAACGCGGGCTCGCGCGAATGGAGCGCGCGCGCAGGAGCGGCAGCGCCGTCCGAGAAAGGACGGGGCGAAGAAGAAGGGCGGAAGGCCGAAGGGCGAAGGATGAGGTGGAGTGGGTTGGGAAGATCCGGGCCTCTCACCCCACAGTTGTGGGTTACGAAAGCACGGAACCTGCCACTCGTCCTTCCGTACTGTCCCGGTAGAAGTCCTTTGGACCGCTGCGGATGGCTCGGGATCCCAACGAACAAATAACATTGTTTATTTCTCGGACGCGTCGCACCGCCGCAGCGCGTTCCAGTTCGCTCTTGGGGGATGAGGATGCATGATTCATGACGTGGGGGACAGAAGACCGTACTTCGATCCTGGCCGCCTCTCCCCGCCTGCCTTGCCTCCTCAACTCTGTCTGTCTCGCGCGCGCGCGCGCTCGCGTACGCTCTTTCCTTCGTCCCTTCCATCGAGCTCTCTCGCTCTTGAACTCTTCGCCACAATGCAGCCCACTCTCTTTCCCTCCCGTCGCCGCTCAACCGTTTCCTCCACTTCCGTGTCTCTGTTGGCGCGAATGGCGCTTCCAACAGTAGCATTATCCTACTGTGCTGGCCTTGCAGCTCCTTTCTCTCTGACCAATTTTCCTCCGAGGATCGTTGGACCGCCGCAAACACGAGACGGCTGCAGAGGACCTCACGGTTCACCAGTGACACGATTTCGCCTTTCAAATATTTATAATACGCGCACACTAGCGAGCATATTAGCGAGCGCTCGCCGCACCGGTGGCGGAGGAAAAGATGACGCGGCGCTGCGCGCGGGAGGGGGGCTGATTGGAGGAAATCCGCTCGAAACAAGGAACAAAGAGTTTAATCTCACAACGGGTACAATGTTCCGCGCCACCGTGAACGTGTTTCGAGCACGGCATTCGGAAATTACACGTACGTGCGCGTTAATTCGACGTTCCACGCGCGCGCACACACACACACACACACACACACACACACACACACACGCACGCACGCACATCGCGGCTTATCGATACATCTTTGTAAATTACCTCCCCCGCGCCTCCGAGGAAACATCAGCAGCAGTATCCCGCGAGGTTTGAACTTTGCTCTCCGTTGATGCGTCCGAGGGAATACCGTAATCTTAGGACATCACATACAATCGTCATTTGCGCTGTGTCGCGATACGAACACACAACACCGGAGTTAGCGGAGGGAAGGACGGAGAAGAGAGGGAGGAAGGGGTTAGGGTGAGGAAGGGAATACGTAACCGGATGCCGAACTGGCGAATCTGGTTCCTAACGCGGACGTGTGCCACTGGGCACTGCGCGACCATCTGTCTTCTGACTCGCCGTTTCTCCTCCTCTTTCCCCTCTTTTTCATTGCGTACGTACGCGCCGCTTGTGCTATAAGAATCATGGGGCGGGAGGAAAGGTGCGCGCGATACGATGGGGTGGAAAACGTGCCCGGCAGCCCCGAAACTTTTTCCGCGTGCATGCATGTCCGCGACGCGACGGAGGAGAAACAGCAGAAGGAGGAGGGGGGTGGGGGAGGGGTGGGCGGTGTGTGTACGCGTGTGTACAGTCGTATATAGTTGCGGTCGGGGTCAATGCCACAACCACGTAGATATTACACAAGGTGCATGTACGTCAAATGAGCGGCCACGGGTTCCGGGTTCACATGGAGTCCTCGTCTCCGAGATCGATACCGGCTGGCCATCGCGCGGTATCGCACCGGCCTATACACGCCGGCCCGCGAAGGAAATTTTTCAACGACACTCGCGTCGCGTCGCGTCGCGTCGCGCAAGGCAGGCCGCGGAGGGACGGGAGATTATGAGATTGCCAAGATCGGCGCGAACTCGTATGGTATGGAAAACGCGAGATTGCACATCTCCCCGACGTACGAGCAATTAACGGCGTCTCTCGGGCATCAAACTCCGCGCTATCGATTAATCCACCGATGTGCGACTGTCGAGCGGTAATTACTCGCGTCTCCGTGAGAAGGGTCGCCATTAACTCTTTAATATTTCATAGCGGCGGCTGTACGTCCGGTTGCGATTCCCGGCTACGGGAGGCGTCGCGAGGGACGACGGGAAGGAGAAAGAGCGAGAGAGAGAGAGAGCGAGAGCGAGAGCGAGAGAGAGAGAGCGAGAGAGAGAGAGAGAGAGAAAAGTGGACAGAAAGAGAGAAGTAGCGTCAGTGACGACAAGTGTAAAGGAGTACGAGAGAGAGGAGAGCGAGGCGTGGCGACAGCGAGGGGGAGAGAGACGACGAAGGAAGAGGAAGATCGGGGTAGCGAGCGAGTGAAGGCGGAAGGAACGGCAGGGAGGGAAGGAGAAGGTCACTTTAAGCACTGTCCGCTGGTCAGGAAATTAAACTTTGAGTCGAGAACTGGCCATTAGGCGTTTGTTGTTGCCGCGTTGTCAGGGGAACCCGGCGCGTCCGTATAGATACCGGAACTGAGATACGACGCTATGTCTCTCCCTCTTGTCTCTCCGGACGAGTTTAACGCTGAATGCATCGTGTAAATGTCACTTACGACCCGAGAGATCTGTAGCAGTCAATAACGATCAGTGCGCGGGACTTGCGCGCGCGCGCGCGCGCGTGGGCCGAGCGCGCTTCGGCGGTGAGACGTGCCGATTAACACAGGCCGGGCTATTAACTATCACGTAACCTCGTTCTCGCGCGTTCGATGGCCGTAGTCGCTCGTAGATTGGAGCGAGGTGACGTCAATTAGTAGTGAGTAGGGTGTCGCTGCGGCGAGACGCGTCGTCGCGTCTTTGGTCGAGGTCTCTCTCTCTCTCTCTCTCTCTCTCTGTCTCTCTCCCTCTCGCTCTGCCTCTCTTTCTCGTTCTCTCTCTGTCTCTCTGTCTCTGTCTCTGCCTCTCTCCCTCTCGCTCTGCCTCTCTTTCTCGTTCTCGCTTGTGACGCAAGGATTCATAAGGGAGACACTCGCTCGAATCGACGAGTTCCGATAGACGTCTTCATCCCTCCCGGCTAAGTCTCCTCTCTCCGGTGGCGCGTGTGTAACGTAAGAGCGACTCTCGCGAAACGTAATCTCGAGTCTGAAAGAGCGTGCGACGCGAGGCGGACGTTGTCGTTATAATTGAAAGCTGATACTTTCCGCGCGCTGTGCTCTCGGCAACGGCGCCCGTTGAATACGTCGTCGAGTACGTTATCCCCGCGAAGGAATTCCACATCAAGGTTGACGCGCGCTGGAACATCGTGCACGCGCCGCACGCGTTACACGCAATGTATTCCGGGTCACCTCATGCATAAAAGTTTCGATCTCGCGATCAGCTCTGGTCCTTTTTGCCGCGCCGGAGGAGGCTGGATAATTAAGTACGTTTCCAGCGGCACGTCGCGCATCCGTGAGAAAGAGAGGGAGCGGGAAGGGACAGGAGACGCGGAACGGGGGAGGAAGAGAGAAAAAGCCGCACCTCTATTTAACGATCGCGTTACGATCGAGCGTCGACCCTTTGGCAATTTGTGTCATCAGCCGCGTGCACTTGGAAAATCGATCCCCTTGAGAGGCACCGCTCAAGATGGATGGTAATAAGTAAATGTGTTTGCTGAGCCCCGAGCGCGCGCGCATCACGAGCAATTAATTAAGCTCGATTATCTATGTACACTACGGGAAAGTGCGCCTCCGCTGCCAGCCGCTAGATGCTGAATGATAGCCACGCGCGCGCCGCAAATGCGCGCCGAATGATAATGCCGTCGACCACCGTCGTGGCCGGCCGCGCTAAATTTTGTATCGCCGAATAATCAGTGACTGGAATACGCTCCTCGCGTGGTCTGCGTGCTACTCCTCCTTCTCCCTTCTCTCTCTCTCTCTCTCTCTCTCTCTCTCTCTCTCCCTCTTTCTTTCTTTCTGGTTTTTGTTGTCATTTGGTGCTTCACGGAACAGACGACGAAGACTGTTTGGTACTACGCGGGTGCGTAGTAAGACGGTTGCACGAAAAAGCCGAGAGGATGCGACACGCTTACAGTGAAAGAAGAGAAGAGAAGAGAAGAGAAGAGAAGAGAAGAGAAAACACACACGGCGCAGCTACAATATGGGAATCTTGATTATCTCAGTTTATACCGGCCGATAAAACAAGTCACTCTCTGTCTCTCTCTCTCTCTCTCTCTCTCTGTCTCTTCTTTCTCGGCGAGAGAGACACGTCGGCATCTGGAAGGCCGCGCAAAATCCAGATAGGGGATGGGCGCAGGCTGATAACCGTCGAATTGAATGGTGAATGCCGTTTCGGAAATTGAATAAGCTATCGTGTGTGCCAGGGCAGAGCTGCCGAGTGGCGGCCGGTATTTGACCTGCCTGCGTGCAATCAATGTACTGATTGGAGATAAGGGCTCGCCCTGTAGCCTCCGGCATCCTCTCTCCGGCATGATTTATATACGTACGGTCTTTGCCGGCGATGTATTCATTACTTGATTACCCCATGGCAGGTTAATACCGATCGCGACCGTGCAACGGCCAGGATGATGCCCGTAACTCTCTTCCGCGATGAGTATACATATTTCGGATTTTCGTGCATCCCTTTCGGCCGCGGTGTGTTTATGCGTGTGTGCATGCGCGATTGTTTCTCGATGCCGTTAGTCGTTTCTTCCACGATCCTTGAGCACGCCCGACGAAGC